AGCTCACGCTATGCAAGCAAGGCAGAGACTTTTCCTTCTCCTTTTGTTTCTGCCAAAGAACTACTGATTTACGATTACCCTTGACAATAGGACCCTGTGGCAACCATCCTAAGATAAATCCCGCTTGTGCAAACACTTTCAAAACAGTCAGAATATCTGAGTCATGCAGGAAAGTATGATGCACTTCTACAGTTCACCTTTCAGTTGAAACTCTCTGCACTAAACCTGCATGTCTGTGGAAGCCAAAGAGCAAATAACGTGACAAATATAAAGGATTTATCCCAGGAACTGAGTAACTGCTTCATGAGTCAGACTGGAATTAGTCTACAATGTGCACGGAGGTTAAATTCAGAGAGGCAGGTATTTCAGAGATGGTACTAGGGTTAATGCAAGTCTCTTCGCCCACAGAATTGTGAAGAGCTGAATAGTGAGCAGGTTGTCTCCAGAAGCACAAGATGAAGGACAACAGTTGCTGTTTATCTTCATAATTCGCTTGTCTCCAACTTCAGAAGCTGCTGACCTGTCACAATTCAGCAAGCCCACATCCACAGCCAGCTCCGTATGCCAAATGAGAGGGACAAACCTCTTTCACAGCATCTCATCCGCCCTTTTTTCACCAAGATTCCCACATCACACTCCTTAAGACCACACTGGTGTTCACAATAGCACTCTCAGCTGCCTTTTACCTTTTTATCAGGACAAGTCACTTGTTGTCAGCCTAGCTTTTTCCTATTGAAAGTAAATTTGTCAGGCAGCCAAGGGTTTGTAAAAATAAAGTGTCCAGAGGGCGACAGTCTCTGCCTCCACATAACCACACCAGAAAGATGCTCTTGACAGAAACTTCCTTCCACTGAACTTCTCCCCTCTCTCAAGTCCTCTCTGCAAGAGAAAACTGGACTAGTATTTCACACTGCTTTAAAATCATCAAGTTAAGCAAATACAAACCTCTGTCAGTGCCCTCTTAGTTCTGAGGCAACAATGTATTTTGATTTTTCTTAAAACTAACCCATGAACTTACTCTAACATAAAAAAAGTCTAAAGCAAAACAGGAACATTCACACATTTCCACAACAGTTCAAGAATATCAAATAATATAATCAGATAAAAATCATGACTCCAGTTGAATCATACAACCTTTTTATAACTGAGACCTCAGTTTGATGTATTCTGCAGTACCTCAGAAAACACTAACTTCTAATGTACCAAAAACCCAGAAGGATAAACAAGGGTGCAAAAAAAAAAAAAAAAAAGAGACTCAAGGATGTGCTGCAGACAGGTAAGTTCAAAGATTTTAGTGAACAACACTAGTCAGGTTTGACTCTTTCCCTCCCAGTCCTCCACTCAATCTTAGCATTAGGGAGGCAAGATACCAAAAGAAAAGAGTGAGAAGTACAAAATGCAGTGCAGGGGTACTTGATTTTTCATATAAAATTTACCATCACTTCAGCAGATGAGAAACACCAGGAAGCTTAGGCGTGAAATCTCAGTAAAATATACAATTGAAGACTGTTGGCTAGTTCAAGTATGATTTTTTACTTTAAGATATTGTGTAGTGAATACCATATTTCCCATTAATTTTATTTTTATGTGAAACAGGAAAAACGTCACATTTGCTCATAGAAAGCCAAAAACTCTTTGAGAATAAGTGTTCTTCTTTTATTAAAAAAATTAACCTTAAAATCCAGGAGGGTGCTGTGCACCAGGGGCACACGAGAAAAATATTGTGATGCGGAAACTTAATGAATTTACAGTTCTTACCATTCCATCAGTGCTCTGAAAGTAATCAGAATAGGAACAAAAAGCCAAATCATAAATGCCTGATTTCTCCTGGGTAAACTGGTAGTTAAACTGCAGGGAATTAATTTTAATTCTAGCAACAAGCAGGGGGGCTAGGGAGAGCCCACATCAGATTAGCAGCAACATTTTACAAACAGGCACTATTGAATTCCACTACAATCCCATCATGGGAGTATGTTTCTACCCTGTCCCAAACCTGGGAAGGTGAATGTTATGTGCCCCTGCCTCCCTCTCTCCCAGCCAGCCTTTCAGGAAGCTATGAAGCTAATTTTCCCCAGCAGTATTCTCTGAAGGAAAAGTTCACTTCTTGTGAAGGTAACATGTATTTTTTAATTATTATTATTTTATGCCTCCCCAGGGAAGGTGAGGAGGGGGGAGCTTCCTTGCTCAAAAGAGAAAGAAATTTTCCTGTATCAGTGCCAAGAATAGACACCCTAAATTCAGCGATCCTAATCTCCAGCCATCCATCAGCAGCAGGGTGGGACCAGCTGATTCAGATTTTCTATTAGCTAGTGACTTTGTGTGCTAAAATAAGTCCCTGTACCACCCAATTGTTCCTGCTGCTCTCTGTTCTGCAAAAGCACAGATTTAACCATAGCTACCTCGACTGTAAGTACTTCCCCTCCAGCAGGCCCTTTATACCTGGCACGATCCTCTTCCCACCAACTCTTCCAAGTCCCTGCGTGCCCCTTTGACTCTACATCATGAGCATTTCTTAAATTTCCTCCACCATCCTTCCAGCATGCACCAGGGAAAATGCCAGCTCCAAGTATCCACACTACCCTGGGAGGCAGAGTCCAGGTACAAACCGAACCTGCAAACAGATGATGGAAACTGTTCCTCTACAGGGCCAATTATTTTCCATACACACAGTGACCAAGGCCCATATTTAGGGCACACTGTGTGACAGATGAAGACAGAATAAAATAATAAACCTCCCAGCTCTACATTTTTAAAGAGTATGGGAAGATATCAAAAAAGTTCACTGATGTATCAGCCTAATAAATTACTCTGCTGGTCAAATATTCAATAATCCACGTTAACTGGTTATTTTCTGGACCAGAAAAAAACCCCAACGTGTAATTGATTAACATTATTCCATTATTTACACAGTAAAATCAATAGCAGAATACATAAACTGGCAGTTTGAAAATAACACTAAATAAAAACAATTAAAAATGCACAACCAAGGCTAACAGCAAACTCTGAAACTCTGTTAACCCCACCAGACAACTCACACGGTTGGTACTCTGCAAGTTTTCAAGTCCCATAGACCAGTGCCATTTATTGGGAGCAAAAATATAGAAATAATCTGAGACCAGTTAATCTCTAATTAAAGAAAAGCACCTGTCTCCATGGGTCACACAAACTCAAATTCATATTCCTGAAGCCACAGAGAAACAAAAGGAGTTGATAAGCCAGGTCTTGCCAGATCCTGGCAGAATAGGCCACGCACAAGGGAGTGAAGTTTTAGCCAAGATAAAGGCAAATGTTTCACGAGTTCAGAAAGCTCTGGAGTGCCAGAAGAACAAGCACCCAGACACACACATTTGGTCTAGAGCTTCTCTGCAACTTAGAGGACAGAATACTTTCAACTCCTACTTTTAGTTCAGCATCAGACAAAGAGAAAAGTAACCAGCCATGTCAAATAAAGGAGACAATTCACCTGCTACGAAAATTGTGAAGAGTGACTGCTGATTTTGGTGTCCCATATAACCCATAATAATGGAGATAAAATTTTCAGAAAGCTACAGATATCCTAACTACCTTCCCTCTTGGTGTCAAAACTGGCATCCAAAAAAAAACAAAACAAAACACAATACCACAGGTCTGCAGTTCCTTTGAAAAAAAAAAAAAAGGTCTTCAAAGTCAGTGGAAATTCAAAGGAGAAACTTGTATTTTCTTTTCCTTTTTTTTTTAAGCCAAAAATGCCACAGAAACCTCAGGAAAAAAAGGGAGAAATGTGAATTGCCCATTTGATCAATTAATGTACATGAGGCATTTTGAAGAACCTCACTAACTCAAAATCATGCCCCAGCAGGGATCTTCATAGTATTAAATCAGTAAAGTAAATAAACAATAGTCAAGAAGTCTGCATTGTACATTGCAAACATGGCATGGTATGCCAAGTGTTTAGTCTCCTATACAAAAGGAAGGAGAGATTACACAGTCCTCAACTCAGCTTTATAGATTTTTGAGAAGAAGGAAACTAAATGGTTTTTACAAACAATCAAGTTTTGAATTAGGCAAATAAAAATTAATAGTTCTTCACATGAAAGTTAATAGAACACCCATCACACTAATACATCAAGTAAATATTTGCTAAAGTTTGCAATTAAGTTATTTATATATTGTACCTCTCCACCTAAATCATTCACCGTGAAAAATTCCATGATGTGATGTATAAACAAATGATTCCCCACTGTTGACTGGAAGGTAACCACCACTGAGACTGAACTTATGCCAGCAATGCAGTACCAACCACCACAGACAGTGGTTGTCAGACAGTGTCTCCATACTGATGGGACGGTAAAAGCAAATCCCAATTAATTTTTACTGTAGGTGCTAACTCCTCCAAAAAACACCTATCTTCTGCCACACTGAGGTGGATCAAGTACATACACTACAGCAGATTAACATGTGTGTCACACAGAAACAACGTGCTAAGCATGGCTCAAGTTCTTCATGTTACAAACTTGATTCCAACTTCAGCATGCCAGAGCTCCCTAAGGCATCCTGTAGGAGATTTCTTTTTGCCTACTAAAATAAGTGTTCTTATTTATTACAATGTGAAAATGCAAAAAAGAATTAGTGTCCTTTGTGTTATTTAATCTAACTCATAATTTAATCCTTCTTGTTTACACTGTCTTTACATTTCCAGTGTGCTGTAGACTGTGTGAAATATGTCAATGGCAAGTTGGAAGTTTTGTCACTTAGGGAGGTACACAAAGCAAATCTCTGGGAAGAACACACTGATTAGACATCAAGTTACTCAACACTGCATGGCACTGAATACACAAGTCACTTTAAACAAGGATTTCTGACTGTTTGCAAGTAGACCACACGTAATACACTAGGTATATAAACATTAGAGAATGTTAGACTCTGGAACATAGCAGTGAAAATTCTGCAGCCCACCAATATATGTACTTACACGAAAGAAATATTTCCAGTTCCCAAATATAGTGTTAGAGACAGCTTACCCTTTCCACTTGTCCTTCTTTGTGCTTCAGTTTGTACACTTTCAGCTTTGGAAGGAAAGTCTCTGTGTAATTCTTGTCTTCCATGCCTTGGAGCAGCACCCCATGGAATGCCAGCCTGCAGGTATTTGCGTGAATATCTGTATCCAGCTTGGAGCCGATCACAAGGCACAGTTTAGGACAAGTGACTGGTTTTTCAAACTCTAGCAAAGCCCACTGTTGTTTTGGGAGCTGGACTTCTCCTGCCTGGTCGTTTTCTTTGTTCTCCTCTGAAGAAACTGAGTCCTTGGACAAATATTGCTCTTGATAAAGATAATCTTTTTCAAAATCAAAAACATTTTCTTGAATTTCTTCATTGAAGTCAGCGGGGGCTGGACTGAAAAACATCACTCTTCCCATAACTGTTTCATGACCAACTGTGATGTGGAACTTGGCCTTAGTCTGAAGAGTTCCTCGAAAATATTGGATTTTCTTCAAGGAAATTATTGCAGCATGGATGGTGTGAAGTGAATCTGGGGTGCAAATCAGGCCTCTTTCCAGCAGTTTGGGATCAAACTGGGTTACACAGATACCTACTCTGTCACCCTGCATAGCATAAGTCACAGGAGTATGGAACATCTGCATGGATTTGACTTTCTTGGTCACCTGTTGATGAAAGGGGAGGAAAAAGAACGAAGTAATTAATTGCACATGAGTGCATCATCAACACTCTTATCATGATATGCTTATATCACATGATATATGCTTATATTGTCAGGTATCAACCACCCAGAAGGGAACAAATTGCAGAAACTTAGATCAAAATAGAGGACCAGATGAAAAGTCTAAGGCAGAACTAAAACCTTCAGTAAGTGGAATATAAAGAGCTCTTAAAATAAGTTAGCAAAAAGTGGTCACAGCTAAAACAGAAAGCTGATTTAAAAAAAAAAAAAAAAGTAAAAAAATCTAGCAACTACACATCTTTTGGAAAAAAACAAAAAAACCTGTATTGCTTTTGGAAAAGCATATTTGTATAAATAACAGTTCCAGTGGGCTTCACCACTATGAATATTGTTTGGGTTCCCTGAATCTCTGGTTGCTAACAAAACCAAAAGAAATGCCCTTTTACAGATTATAATGTTATTACTACAACATTTTGCAAAATAAATGCCACATCAGTGCCTGCGAATTCTTGAAGAATCCACAAAATATTATGAGAAAGGAGATCAAGAAGTGTGATCATGTAAGAGAAAAACCCCCTCACTAAAAAGCCTGGACCAAAAGAGTTTGTCAAGATCTTAACTAATGTCAAAACAGACTTAAAAGGCCATTGTAAATACTCAGCAGAGTTTCAGTTTCAAGCATTTTTGTACTCAAATATACATTCATTATCCCTTTAGCTAAGCCTGCTAGACAGTGCTACCTATCTAGATAAGTTGAAGAGAAACAATTTAGTGTTTACCTCCAGCTCTCTATTCACTTCCAAGATTGTACTTTTGGAGGCTGGAAGCAAACTCTTCCCAAACCCTCCCTTCTTTCATTCACTACCCATCCCTCTTCAGTTTCAATCCATGTTATAGTTGCAACACTGGTGATACATACAATGTTTAAGGACTTAAAAAATAAAAAAATAAGGTTGTTTTAAATGTGTTTCAAAGATATAAACAAGCACTACAAGAATGAAACTGCCATATGAGAAGTACCAGCCCAAACCATTTTGAAAGACTTTTGTGACTTCACATATGATAATGCTGGCAGTAAATCTGTCCTCTTCTACAACCATGGACAGGGTCAATAAACTGACAAGAACAAAGGAATCTTCCAGCATTGTCACTCCTCAAACCAAAACTGGAACTGGAAGGTGCACAAGAGATCTGTCCAGTTGTCTATTTTAAACAGCAGATTACCTGTGCTACCCACAACTCTCTCACAGGAGACAAGTCCTGCACATCCTGAGCTTTAAGAATTGAGATCCTCTCAATCTTGAATCCAAACCCACCCACAAACTGTATGTAAACATTTAAAAAATTCCAGAAGGAACAAACTACTGGGCAGAACCAGAGCAGAGGGGAAGGAGTGCCCAGGGCTTTCAGAGTCACCTGATTTATTTGGAGCTGGGTATGGCTTTCAGACAGGTTTACTTGTCCTCAGACACAAGGAGGAAAACACACTGCATTACACAACCTACTGAAAATCAACACTTCATGCTGATCTATCCAGTACCTTGTAGATGATTTAATCAGTCCATCTATATTTGTTTTAAGTATTATCTATTACTGTATGTAAAGTTCCCATTGACATATCAGAGGATGGAAGTAGATGGGAAGGACACATTTGAGCCCATTCCTTTTTCCCCCTCATGCTCTCAGCACCAGAACTGTAAAGGGAGCAATACAGCAGTATCTTAACTGACCATAACCTCTGTTCCAAGAGCATAACATTTGTAGGAATTAGAATCTGACCAGAACAATGCCAGAGTGTGCATAAGTGATTAAGGGGTGGATTAGATCACCCAAACTGAGTTGGAATTGCATCTCCTTCAAAAGGTCAGACATGGAACCAGTAGAGAAGTGAATCAGGGAGTTGGTCTGCACCCACTGGATCAAATAACAAGAGCCAGAGTAGCTTTAAATCACTGATTTCCTGTTTGCTGAGCAGACCATGAACATCAGTACAGTATTTCATTCCATTTTACTCTGACCCCAACTGACAGAGATATTTGCCCATGGTTTAAAATACTCCAAATGTAGGGGGTTTCTTCAAGAGGCTCAAGTACATAACTAAAATTCATCTTTGTTTTGTCTGGCCTTAAAATACAAACCCAGAAGCACTGAAAAGGATGCAACTGACCCTCAGTATTAAATTCGTTTCTCTTTTGCATACCTCGTTTCTCTGTGTAAGGGATCCCTACAAATTATAACACAGTTCTAAGGTTTCACACACTTTCTTTAGCTTTACAGCAAAGGATTTTTCAAGTAGAGAGTTGGAGTCAGACCACTCAGTCCACCCATCTACCAACAGAATGATGTAAAATACTTCGGAGCACTCTGTCCTGATCAACAGGAATTTGTAACCAAGACCAGCTATGACAAATAGCTTTGGTATTTCTTTGCATTTATTTTAAGCCCCCATTTTAGTCCTCAAACTGCTGTCTGTAAAACGAGTTCTATCTTACATTGTCCAGGAAAATAGTGCAAGGTCCATTCTAGCAATCTATTCAACAGAGCAGGGAAATCAGGCCTTTAGACACAGAAGGGGAACAATATTCAGTGAAATTCAAAAGTCATGACTTCACTGCATGTGAACCATGTAAATAAACATGGAGAACTTGGATACCATTATAAAACTTTGCTAAGAAATTCACTCACATTTTACTTTCTAGTTGTGGCACAGGGGAATTGATTATATCTCATCATATAAATCCAGAGCCACATTTTGAAATCTTACATCATTTGCAAAGATATTTGCTTCTCTTAAAATTTTATTTGTATAATCACATTAATGTTCCTAAAGCATTATGTAAAGGTCCATAAAGAGAGTGAGAAAGAAGTTTGTGCTCAAATGCAGATTAAAAAACGCAAAACAGAAATCAAAAGCACCCAAATAGTTCAGCCCTTGAGATAAACAAATGTATTTAATATAAAAGAACCCGTTATTTGAAGACCAAAGGAAAAGCCCAGTAAGATTTTCAAAGCAGTTTACTGCAGATTAATAGAAAACAGGATACAGAAGAAGTCCACTAATGACTTTTGGCCCTGATATGTCAGAGCTTCTTTTCCTTTATTTATCCAACTTCCATTAAGTTATCAGCCACATGCCATTGCTCAGAGCTTCTTTAGATAAAAACCTAGCCATCACATTGCCTCCCAATGCTGTGAGTGCATCTTTCTGATATCAAAGATACAGCAACCAGATTTGCCTGTAATAGTGATGAGAAACTGCAAAGTTAAAGTAATTAGTCTCAATGATATTTTAGAGAAATTATTGATTAAAAACGCAGTATTTATAAAAGGACTATTATATATGTATTATAAAAACAGACCCCACTTCAAATGCAGAGGACTCCAACCAGATTAAAAATAAAGATCACACCTCAGAGCCCAGATGAGTCGCATCTTTAAACTTACATCCAAGAAGGAAGAGGAGCTGGTAAATGAAGAAAGTACCATTTCAGCCCAGAGGTTTAAAAGTACACCAAGTGTAAGCCTGTCTGAATCAGCACCCAAACAAGAAAAAAAAAAACAAACATCACTTTTGAGAAGTATAAACTGGTCATATTTTGCAGCAAAGTGCCAAATACAAGAAATACCACCTTAATATCATCTAGAAGAAGTGGAGCAACAAACTAAGGCCCAGTTGCATGACTAAAATGCTTTTGAAAGTAAGGACTGCCTTCCTCCCTTTTGCTCTGCTACAAATCCAAATAAAGAATAAGGTATCTCATCTGCCTGTTTCCAGTATCATCTTTTGGTGGTCAGAAGGTATCAAGCTACATTGGCAAAAAGGTTACCACAATTTTTAGCTTTCAGCCAGCCCATATCTAAGCACATACACTGAAACTAAGCAAAACTCTAATTCAGATATAAGACTGCTCCCTACCCATAAGCAGATCTTTTCATAAATTCCCTTCTAAACATGAAGAATGCTGAATTCTTTGCCTTATGAGGGATGACAAAGTTGAACCCTGTAGATGAGCAAGCAGCCATGTGTTCAGTGAAGCCAGCAAACCATTCCTGCTCAAAAGCAGTGAAAGGACATGTAGGCTGTGAAGGTACAAGACAGCAACAACGAGCAATCAGAAATCACAAGTAAAGGCCTCTCCTCCATCCAAGTAACAAAAATTATTTTATTTTAAGAAATAAGGTATGAAATAATATCTAAATTCTCTTAGATGCCTTTGTGGATCATGTCATAACTCATTAGTTCCAAAACTTTAGCCAGAATCTTGAAACAGTATGAAATGGCAATAAACCAGGAGCTGTCAATAACACATCATTGAACAGCAAATCACACAATGCAAAACTTTGCCCACTGCTCAGGCTATGGAGAGTTTTCTCTTTTGAGTCAACATCACAACAGCAGCTAGGATCAACTACAAAGAACAGAAACCTCCAAGAGTCAGAAATAACTCAAGGTTTGCAGTTTCCAGCAGATCGTGTGGTTTAGTAACAATTTTCTGAAAGATCTTGAATATTTCTAGAATCTATTATTTATCCATGGCCTCACCTCCATGTGGCAAAGGAATATGGCATCTGGAAGAAAAACTATTTCACATAGAACAATTCTTTTAACCTAACTTTTTTTAAGTGAGGTTTATAAGGGCATTCACCATATGACCACTTATGCAACACCACACACATGCTATCAGATTATTTAATATACTCCTCCTACTGATAAAATAACACCATAGCCTGCACTGCAACACTGGAATACAAAGCAATATAAAAGGGGATAATAAAATCCATTTAGTTTATTTCCTTTCTCAGCATCTGAAATATGCACTCAATAAATAAAAGAAGCAGGTCGATGATCTTCCTCTGCTTTAATACCATAATTTTAATTTAAATTACATGTATACTATATTCATGCACACAATCACAAACCAAAAATTAGCAAGTGTTAACATTAAGATTTTGCAGGTAAAGTTAAGTGACCTTCTGTGCCTA